TACCAGTATAGCCAGTTCTGCAGTGGGGGTGTGGGGGGGTGGGAATCTTTCTTGACTCTGGGCACACAAGCAGCTGAAACATTAGTGTTTCATTATAGTTCTCATTTTAATTCAGAGCTACAAGTGTTACAGACATGGTGTGAGCAAAAGGAGATGGATGGAGGGGGTGCTAGAGGGAGGCCAGAAGAGGCTGCCAGGCTTAGCTAATCCAGCTCGTCACATGTGCTCACCACCCTGAATTTACTCTTACAGGGCATGGAAATTGTGCAGACTATGAACAGTGATCCTGGCCTTGCTGTTGGTATGTACCTTCTTCTGAAACTCAAATTTTACAGCAGAAGAGTTATAGCATGTGAACACATCTTCTACAGACTTGTTTTTAACCTGCTTGTATCCTCAGGTTACACAGCTTTTAACGGCGTTGACTTTGAGGGCACGTTTCATGTGAACACGGTGACAGATGATGACTATGCTGGCTTTATTTTTGGTTATCAAGACAGCTCTAGCTTTTATGTGGTAATGTGGAAACAGACTGAACAGACGTACTGGCAAGCGACTCCCTTCAGAGCTGTTGCAGAGCCCGGCATTCAGCTAAAGGTACTGGTCGTGGCTCCTAGGTGGGGACACGGTGGTCACCACAGCCTGGCTATGCCATCCTACCATGTGTTGGCCGTGCCACTCCACCAGACTGCCATGGGCTAAGCTGTCATGCTGTGTGTTGGCCAAGCCGTCGCACTGACCGTCGGCCGTGCTGCCCAACTGCTGTTCTCTCCCTGCAACAGGTGTCAAAACTGCTAAGTCAGGTGGCAGCCACACAGCGCTTTTAATAGCACCATTTTTTAAGGAACTTCATCTCTAGTCTCACCCCTGCTCATCAGCAAGAGAAGTTAGGGGCTTGTGAGCAGGAGGGAGGGTGCTTGTGCAGACCTGCTCCCCACTACAAAAAGACTTAGAGCTGCTGAAAGTGACATTTCTCTGTGGTCAGCATTGGAAAATTCTATTTCTGCAGGCTGTGAAATCCAAGACAGGCCCTGGTGAGCACCTCCGCAACTCCCTTTGGCACACGGGAGACACCAGTGATCAGGTCAGGCTGCTGTGGAAGGATCCCCGAAATGTGGGGTGGAAAGACAAAGTCTCCTACCGCTGGTTCTTGCAGCACAGACCCCAGATCGGTTATATCAGGTAAGAGAGGAAAGGATAGATAAAGTGAATACAGATACATGTCTGCCTAAACTGTTGCTCCTCAACACTTAATTCAGATGATAATCTGAGAATGTATAATATGTCTGGGCCTTGCACTGGTGAAGCCTTGTAACAGTTTAGACTTTTGAAATTTAGCCTGCAATTCTTTTTCTAGGAAAGACAAATCCAAGCTAAGCCTGTTTGTAACTGAAGTTTTCTACCATCTGGCTGTTGTAACTATGCCCTACCCTAGTAAGCCCTTTCCTGGCATTGATACCTTGTTTTCCAAGCTACTACTGGCCACTGATCTGAAAAACAATGCATTTCAAATTCTCTTAATTTTGATTTTTTAGAATATTTTTGTTGGAATTGTGATAGTTCATTTACATATTCTGGGATAACAGAATTAATAAAAGTTGTCCACTTAAAGGTTGTGATCCTAACTAAGATCAGTAATTATCCTCACGTGATAGATTTGAGATTACATAGCATATATTCAGAAAGTTTGTCAAAGCTATGTAATGCATATTATCGATTCTTATTTTCATAGAATCATTAGAATCATAGAATCATTATGGTTGGAAGAGACCTCAAAGATCATCAAGTCCAACCGTAAATTTTTTTATTTAAAAAAGAAAAAGAGTTATTTAAAAAAAATTTCACCATTCAGGGGTAAATATTTCACTCTGCAGCATCCAGAGCAGGAATTATATTTGTAGATCAAGGTTGATGTTAAATACAAAAAATAAACTGCTCTGGCATCATCAGCTCAAGTTTTGCAACCTTATAATATAACAGAAATACAGGTCAGTCGGTTGTTCTTCAAAAAATCACCACCTTGCAGTTGAGATGCAGTAACTTGATGGTATAATTAGTCCACTTTTCTGGTGCAGGGCATCATCTTCAGCAGTAATTGGAGTGAGCATGCGACTTTATGCTAAAAGGGATTAAGAACATTTATACTGACAATTATTGTGTTCCAGCCACAGGGCAGTAGTGAATAGATCTTGAGTGGCAACTTTTCTTTAGACCAAGCTGTTTGTGAAACTGTTCCATGACCAAACATCTGCCTGTGGTTGCAGTCCCTCTGGCCAGCCTAATTAATGCCCCCTGCAGCTGGGAAGGGTAGCAAAGTCAGTGTCACAAAATCCTTCAAAAACCAAAGGCAGCCAGGCCTAAAGCAAACCTCTGCCAGCAGTCTGTCCCCCTCTCGCTGTGGTCTGTGTAGGCCAGATGCAACAGACCATACTGTTTCAAGCAAAGGTTTTCTGAGGCTTCAGGTACTTCAGGGAAGCCTCAGAAAAAGTCCCTTGAGCCAGCCTCTCCCATGGAAATTTGAAAGACTACAAGTTCTGTTGATTGTACAGATACTTTTGAACTGCCTCAGAAAATCAGGAAATAAACTCAGGAACATATCAGGAATTGGTTTTTTTCTTATTTTATGAAAAGACACAGGAACATTCTTTCCCTTTCCCACTCACTGTTTTCTTGCATGTCAGACCAGCAGTATCCTCATACAAAACAGGGCCCTCCAGGCTCATCACCCTCTAAGTCATTTACCCAGTACCCCAGAGGCTGAGGACTTGCTGCGGACAGCACTGCAACAGCTCGGCTGGCTCCAGCACGGTCCCGCTCAAGCCCTCGGTACCGGGCACGTGCTGGGGAGCTGGCAGGGTGCAGCTGTTCCCAGAGCTATTTGGGAATTTGCCAATGGGTTTTCCAACAAGAAAATGCGAGATCATCAAAACTGTTCCTGGAATTAATCATATTCATGTTTTTAAAGAAATCTCACAGTCAAGTTTAAGATTCCAAATGGTTTGTTTGAAACTTTGCCTATTTTTAAAAAAAGTTCAGCTTCAAACTGTGTGAGACAATATCCATCTGGCCTTCTTCAACCGATCTAATCTGGTTCTCCCTTACTCCTATAACTATTGGCTGTGGAAATTTTCAAGACTTAAAGCTCTCAGCCTGACTGATTACAGGAAAAAACATTCCAAGGGTTTTGCAGAATGTGTAAAAAACCAGCCACCACCAAAACACCCTCTCTGCTCAGCTCTTGCCAGCATGCAGCATTGCTCCAGTTCCAGCCTACAGAGGAGCTATCTTCACTGCTTTTTCTCCCCTGGGCTAGATGGGAGCACAGCTCCTACAAGTGGAGTGTTGGAATGGAAGGGTACAGGCTCTTTCAGGAGGACAGGCAGGGGAGACGAGGAGGGGGTGTCACCCTCTCTGTCAGTGACCAACTGGAGTGCATGGAGCTCCATCTGGGGATGGATGAGGAACTGACTGAGAGCCTACAGGTCAGAATTGAAGGGAGGGCAGGGACAGGTGACATTATGGTGGGGGTCTGCTACAGGCCACCCGACCAGGATGACCAGGTAGACGAGGCCCTCTCTCATATGGATAGGAGCAGCCTCACATTCACAAGCCCTGGTCCTCAATATCTGTTGGAGGGACAGCACAGCAGGGCATAAGCACTCCAGGAGGTTCCTGCAATGTGTTGATGATAACTTCCTTCTCCAAGTGACAGAGGAGCCGACGAGGGGAGATGCTATGCTGGACCTTGTTCCCACCAGCAAGGAGGGGCTGATGGGGAAGGTGAAGCTCAAGGGCAGCCTTGGCTGCAGTGGCCATGAAATGGTGCAGTTCAAGATCCTTAGGGCAGTGAGGAGGGTGCACAGCAAGCTCACTGCCCTGGGCTTCAGGAAAGCAGAGTTTGGCCTCTTCAGGGAGCTGTTTGGTGGAATACCATGGGATAAAGCCCTGGAGAGAAGAGGGGCCCAAGAAAGCTGGTTAATATTCAAGGATCGCCTCCTCCAAGCTCAGGAGTGATGCATCCCAACAAAAAGGATGTCAGGCAAAACCTTTAGGGAGGCCTGCATGGATGAACAAGGAGCTCCTGGACAAACTCAAACACAAAAAGGAAGCCTACAGAGGGTGAAAGCAAGGACAGGTAGTCTGGGAGGAACACAGAGAAATTGTCCGAGCACCTAGGGATCAGGTTAGGAAAGCTAAAGCCCTGATGGAATTAAAGCTGGCCAGGGACACCAAGGGCAACAAGAAAAGCTTCTATAGGTATGTTGGTGATAAAAGGAAGACTAGGGAAAATGTGCGCCCTTTCTGCAAGGAAACGGGAGACCTGGTTACCTGGGACATGGAAGAGGCTGAGACTGAATGACTTTTTTGCCTCAGTCTTCACTGACAAGTGCTCCAGCCACACCGCCCAAGCTGCAGAAGCCAAGGGCAGGGACTGGGAGAATGAAGAACTGCCCACTGTAGAAGATCAGGTTTGAGACCATCTAAGGAACCTGAAGTTGCACAGGTCCATGGGACCTGATGAGATGCATCTGCAGGTCCTGAAGGAACTGGTGGATGAAGTGGCTAAGCCACTGTCCATCATAGTTGAGAAGTTGTGGCACTCCGGGGAAGTTCCCACTGACTGGAAGAGGGGAAATGTAACCTCAATTTTTAAAAAGGGAAAAATGGAAGACCCGGGGAACTACAGGCC